CATCACACTCTGTCTACTATTTGAAGTGTTTGTTTTGTGAACAGGACACTTTACATTACGGTACTAGATGTAAGTAAGTGTGTCTTCTGTTGCAGGCAAGAGAGAAAATGTTATTACTTAATGGAGAGGCTAATGATGTAATCCTGTTCAACAGCTCCAATATACTATTTGTTGTTTTTTGTAAATCTCACGAACATTTGTATTTTAGCAGTGAGAGTATTTTTTTAACTCCACCAAGCAGGATATGTTTTGGTCTCTGTTCCTTGTTTATTTGGTTCTTTGGTTTTAGCAGGATTACACAAAACCTACTGAACAAATTTCCACAAAACTTGTAGAAGAACATGGGCCAAGAAGGAACATACCAAATTCTGGATCTGAAACTTTAACATTGCGAGAAAGGGCTTTTTTTCTCCAGATTTTCACTCATTTCCCAGTTAGTAATGCATGGGTCTTGATATGAAGAATCAGATATACTGTATGTGGGGAACTGCAATTTTGTTTGGCTTTAAATGTAGTTTGCGTTGACACACTCATTTATACTCTCTTGTGCTCTTTGTTTTGGTGGTATTCAAAGACATTTCCGAATGTGCTTGTGTTACACTTTTTCTATTCATACATGCACAGGCTGGTTTCTCACAGAGAAAGAATGAGCCCATTGACGATTGTCAGTGGAAGTTAGTTCATCAGAGCCGGGGTCAGTGCAGAGTATTAACCAGTCATTGTATGTCTGGAGTCCAGACCGAGAAAATAGAGACAAACTTAGTAAGCCTGGTTGCGTAGTAACCATCGTACACAGAGAGTTTTTCAACTGTCTCTGCTGTGAGTATTCAACGAAAATTTAACTGTGTTCTCAGGTCAATTTGTAATGAAATTTCTAAAAAGACACTGGTTCTTTAGCAACAGTGAAGAGTATTTCATTCTCAAATGGACCTATACTGATTATAACAATAACATAGAAGATAATCTGTGCATCAGGGGTAGGTGATATGATAGTATGTATACCAGGACAAATTTGTGTTGTTATGTCGCACATACTCCTTTTGTTTAAAACTTTAAAATTTGTTCGACAAACCATTAACTAATAACTGAGGAAGGTTTCTGGCTTGTTGGACGTGGGTGTGGTCATTTGTGTAAACCTTGTACAACTGTTGATTCGTGATCAGTACCTACTATCCCCAATTCCAATCTGTTCAGTATTCACCTGCCACAATTTATTTCTAAAATCTCAAGATACCATTTTGGATGATGACGATTACAATACAGTGGCCCTGAATGCTAAAAAACAGCTTTCTTTGACAAATGCGAAAAATGCAGCAAATCTGTTCTGAAACCTTAAATAACAATAAAAGTTTGTCTGTGTGTAAACATGATCAACACAACGTGATGTCATATAAATTTTTACAATTGTGCGACAATTCTGGACAGAAAATATAGACTTTACACGATGTAACAAATCAAAAATAAGAAAAGTACCAGAAACCAGGAACTCAGATTGTTCAGTAAAAACATTATGCAGTATTATTATTAATAAGGGTTAAAAGATAAAAGTATTTAAAGAAATACATACTGAACATTTGATGACGATGTAACTTAAGATGAAAGATTTGAGCTAATGAGGCAATGTTCAGTCGTCTTTATTCTGTAATACAGCCACACTAGAATTAGTCATCCTATCACTGCCCTTCACTGTGGGGAATAGCCCGGAATAACAACTCCATTCCCTGCTCAGTAGACATCGTCATTGGAGCACACTGAGCCTCAGTAACATCTCCCATCCTGGGACCACCCAGTCCTATGACTCAAACTTCACTTTCATCTCATCTCGGTCCACTGAGGTGAATACAAAGCAGCGCTTTTCTTCTGCGTCACTGCTGCACACAGTCAGTTAGATAATTTATATTGTTTCTTGCTTCATATGAGCGACTTGTTTGTTTCTCTCTGTCTGAGCACTACATCTTGTCAACTAAATTGCCTCTTGCTTATCAATTTATCTGGAGTATCATTTCTAAAATGGCAGGAAGAGCAGTGATAAAGGGAGTCAGTGTTGCAGTGCAGTGGAGGTTTGGGACTGAGCGGTGTACGGCTGCTTATTATCAGGTGTTTGTGGGCTGGAGAGTGAGCTTGCATATTGGAGACGTTCAGGTAAACACTTGAACATGAAAGCATCCTCTGTCAAACATGAGCTTTGTCATCTTTCTGGAATAGAACATGAGGATGATGTTGAAGTGTTTAAAGAGTGAAAAAACTGCATTCCTGCATCAAAAAAAAGGATACTTAAAAAAAAGTCCTAGCTTTGTAGCACTTTGTGGCACAGAACGGTGATGACAGCTTCTGTAGGTACCACCACTTGGTGCAGACTAAATTATCTGCCTTTTCAACAATTAACTACTATTAATCATGGTGCCACAACATAGACTATAAATAATTATGAACAATGCATCTCTGCTTCCTCCCGTACAAAATGATGCCTTATTATCCCGGGTATGGTGCCGCCATCTTGTGCTTTTATAGGCATTTGGGGCCAGAGTCTTCGCAGTATTGATCCTAATGTGCTGCCGTGGTATCACAGTCCTACACATGTTCCACCAGTGCAGTCAGTCTCCACTGCCAATCTTGACTTTAATACCTATTTATATAGCATAGAAAATTACTGGAAAAACTATCACTTGAACTTTCAACGTAACGTCAGTGTGATAGGAATCTAAAATGACAGAAACTGTACTTGGATTTGTTTGTTTGTCCATGTCTCATCTGCTAACATGGAGGAGATCGGGTTAATGACTTATACTGCAGCCATCCACAAGGAGGCGATTAATATGATGATCACTTTTAGAGAGCAGTAATGTTGTCCATCTTTAAAAACAGTATATTGTCGCATTCCATTAAACTTCGGAGCTTGAAAGTTGCAACTGGCTTGCTAACATAAACATACCGATTATTCGGGTGTGATGTCATTCCAAGGGCCGAGCTCCGAGGTACAATGCAACGAACATAAGTGCCCACTGTAATGACTTTGTCTTTGACAATCCCCAACTTTTCCTCTCACTCCACCATGAGGTTTGGATTTGTGGTTGGGGTTGATTTGAAAATCTTGACAACTGTTGGTTAGAGTGCCATTAAAATTCTTCCAAGAATTCATTTTCCCATCAGGATCACTTGTTCTGACTTTCTCTCTCGGGAGGGGTTCATAGCAGAGGTCTTCATGGGTCCAGAGTCCAACTGACTTTAACTGAGTTAAATCGGGTCAGGTAGGGTCTTGTTGTACTGCATTTGTAGACGTGGTTACAAATGGACCTGAGTGTATATGGTATTGACTCTGATCACGTTGTTTATAATTTTCACCACAAGAGAAAAAAGTGCGTTGTGAGGTTGGAGATAAACTTCAGATAACAGCAGTGCTTCGTTCTGACAAGGAAAACTTAAATTTTAGTTTTTCAACTCAATGCTAGCCAGTTAGCCAGTTGCTGCATGTTTTTTAACCAAAGCTCTGCCAGCCAAGTGAAAACGTACATGGGAACCAAGCAACCCAAAAAGATTATGGGACAAGAAATGGTGGAGAAGACAACAACTCCCATGATCACATGCTGCTTCACGACGTCATCAAACTATAGGTCTTTTGTTTTGGTTTGATTGAGAGAGGCAGAAGTTACATGTTGTGCATTTAACATTCTAGATTAATGCAGTAGTAAGTATATGTATGTCATCCACTCTCCATGATGCCCCCACACTCTCCATCAGAAGATTTTTTTCTTTAATCCCTGAATCCAGTTTCAGGAAGATGTGGGGGGAGGAGGTTTCTGATGCTTTGCAGCCATTTGACAAACAGTTTTGACAGAGTGAACTGGCAGCTTAAGTCTCTCTTTAAGGTCGTCATTTTTCCAGCAGAAAGTGTTTGGTACACAGTGGTGTATAGGTATGTGAGGGGACTTTATATTTAAATATGAGCTTGTATATGCATGTGGACACTGTCCTGATCACAGATGGTTTACAACTTCCATCGACCATCTGCTCCGTCATCTCATCTCCTCTTTGTTAGGACAGAGACACAATAGCTGCTGTCTCCTTTTGTCTGGGGTCATCTTCCTCCTCCAAAGTGTTCTCACTACAAAGTAAAATGCAGCATGGCCGCTAATCATTTACTCCAAAGAGGGATCAGGCTCAGGGCTTTCAGGCCAGTGAGGAAAATAATGATGGTTTATTTTTAAAGAGACCAAAGAGTTGATTCAAACCTCTAATGTGCAATTCTCTGAGAAGTATGTGACTTATATTGAGTTTCAGTGTCTCGGGTCTTCTCTGGTTTCGCAACTCGAAGGAGTCAGTCTTGGTTTATATTGCCTCCAAGTGAAAAGCTTTTATTGTGCTACAGTTACACCTAACAACACCTAGGAATGCAGTCAGTGTAGCTATAAAGCACTGCAGTCGTAACAGGAACAATTCAGCCTGAATATTCAATACCAGCTTAAATAATAAGACTATAATAGTATTATGTTTGTTACGTTGCATTTTACAGTTCCACGCACCCTGTGAAGAAGCGGATGAATTGATAAGCATATCAATGAATCGGTAAAGGTGACCTTTATCTTCTGACTTAGCAGGCAGCAGTCTCCAGTGAGGCGGAGAGAGGCGGCTCAAGATGTGAGCCCCAATTTAATTTCCTGACACGATATTCGCAGCGACTCACCAGTCACTGTAATTCCAATCACTGCGCTGAATTACAATCACAGCCTCTTGATTTCATAACTCTCTCATTTCCTGCTTTAGAAGCTCTTCTCTGTGACTGCTCATCATCTCAAAAAGCTCAATGAACGCAGCGATGTTGACTGCATTTTAACTCTAATGACAGCGTCTCAGCGTGGAAGCTGTGAGAGAGGAATATTGAGCGTGTTGTCGAGCCAGGAGGAAAAAATTGGATTTTTACCTTTAGTCAACTGTAAGCACATGATGTGAATTTTAAATGGTTTTCAGCAGCTGCTTAAACTTTTTTTTTCTTGTGTCTTTAGGTACGACCCGTCCCCCTCGAGACGGAGAGGTCCCAGGGGTGGATTACAACTTCCTCTCTGTGGAGGACTTCCTAGAACTTGAGGAGAGTGGCACACTACTGGAAATAGGAACGTATGAAGGTGAGGATGACTATGATCATTACTGACACTCCATGCAACTCGTGATAGCGCAGGTGTCCTGATTCACCACAGATACAATAAGCGTAGCGGCAATCAGCATTTGTTTCTCCCTACATGCGGGCGGGCTGTAGGAGTGTGCACTCGATTGATTCCGATTAGAGTGTACATGATGGGGGAGATGCATCCAGGAGACAGCAGGTCACTCCACATTTGCCCCTCTCACTCTGATAAGGACAGTGTTGTGTTGTGTAGTACAAAGTCTCAAACTGACACAAACCTGTGTGTCAACGTGTGCATGTGTGTGCCCTTGTGTGTTTGTTTGGGAGGCTGTGTGTGATGCGGGGGCTCTGTCTGATTTGTGTGTGTGCATGGCAGAGAATGTTGCGACACTAATCTGCTTGGCACCGGTTCTGCTGTGTGTTGGCACGGTTCTCTCATTCACGCAGACAATGTCAAATACCTGTCCACGGGAGTCTGCTGCCATCCAGACACCCGGAGGAAGCCTGAGTTATTGATTCATAAACATTTCTGGATTTAATGGATAAATCATTATGTAGAAACGTCTTTGATTATGTGGAATTTATTTATAGAAATTTAGCCTTTTTTACTTGATAATAAAATGGTCTGTATTAATATAGCTCTTTGATGACCACTCAAAGCACTTCACAGCAGTTTTGCCATTCACTCAATCACACACAAATTCATACAGTTCATCCATGTGCAGCACTTTCATCATCACACTTTAATCACGCACAGTCATCCGGGGAAATTTGGGGTCCAGTATCTTGCCAAAGCACACTTAGGCACAGAGAATTGGGGAGACTAGACCACCAGGGCCTCTCTCCCATCTCTTATTTGCAAAGAATTTATTGATACCCGCATGCTACAATGCCAGAATATAACTTGATAAATTCTCTGTTTGCACCACTGACAAATAAACAACAGTTTCAACGAGAAGAAGCTGCTAAAACAAGCCGAGTGTTGTGGGCTGGTCTGTTGGTTTTGCTCAGGATGCTTTTCAGAGTCCAGACAATACAGCTCTGTGGCCTCAGACAAAACTAGAAACATTTTGCTTTCCCACCAGCTGCTCATGTCTGTGATGTGTAGTCACACTGTGATCCAGCTTTATGTCTTTTCCTCTCAGCGAAGGAAGATTAGGAGTTTTCATAGATCCTTCGCCTCCTATCTCCCTGTCCCTCACTCTGCCTGTTCTCTATCCCCAGCTTTCCCTCTCTCTCTCGTCTCGCTCTCTCCTTCTCCCTCCTTCTGTGTCTCTCTGTCAAGCATGCTAATGTCCTTCTTGTTGCCTAGGTAACTATTATGGGACCCCCAAGCCACCAAGGCAGCCCATCATTGGGACAGTGATTCTCAGTGATGCAGGCTCCCAGCAGTCCACCCCAAAGCGCACCAAGTCCTACAATGACATGCAAAACGCCCGAGTAGTGCCTGCTGACGACGAGGATGACGACCAGGCCACGGAAATGAACAACAGTTTTACAGGTGAGGGCGTCACAGCTTCTCTCCATCCTCTCTCTCTCTGTTCACTGAAGTTTTTGCATCTGCAGTGTTCTTTGTCTCCGCATTTGTAGTATTCTCCATCTGTGCCATGTTTGTTCTCGAGTGGATGCTTTTTTAGGAGTGTCAGTGTGTCCAAATTTAGGAATACAGAAGGAGGGAGAGAGAATGTGTGCATGTTTATGATTCTCTCCTCTTTCGTACGGTGTCTGCCGGTTACATCATGTCTTTGAGATGCTGATTCCTCTCTCTGTGAGCCTCCAAACACTGCCATCTGCCTGTGAGGAGGGGTGTAGTGGGGGAAGAAGTGGATTACAGGCTTCACTCACAAGATGCATCATTTTCTTTTCATGCCACAACCGTTCAACTCGTTTCTCCTGTCTGTTTCTACTCCAACATGTTTCTCTTTTTGATAAGTTTTGATATTTCTGCCTCAGGTGATAGTCATATTCCTATGTCAGATTTTCTCAACACATTTTAACAGAATAGCCATCTGCAAGTATATGAATTCCATAATATAAGATATGAAAAAAGGCAAACTGTATGCCGAATCTTGCGTTTCACGTCTTTTCCTCTCTCCTTTGAGTTCTGTCCTGTTTTGTATGTGATAGGTAATGTGTTTTTTCTTTTTATGCTGTGAATCTATGCCCTCTCTGTGTCCCACTGCCAGGCTGCCAGAGTGTTGAATTAGCATTTGATCAAACCTGAAAGGCCCACGGAAGTGGTGGAGGACACTGGGCCAGAGCCGGGGAGCGAGGGGAATGGGGGGTTGGGATTGCAAGCTTTAGAAGAGAGGGGCTTATGGGTGGAGAGGTAAAAGAGGGTGGGGGTCAAAAAGAGTTTGGGAAAGACTCTGGCTGAAAGAATTTGCATATTCCTGGGGCCCTTTCAGTACACTAAATATGGGCGGGAGTTAAATGTTGGAATGGGGGGAGGGGAAGTGCTGTGAGTCTGCTGTTATAAAGTTGCATGTCTGCTCTTTTCATTCTTTTCTTGCATGCTCGAGACATAAACTATGTTTTTGTTTCTGTTGTTCCGTGTCTTGCTTGTTGTGTTACCCAGGATCCTTAGTGCGTAGTCTCTTCCCCTCTCCTTTGTTGTGCACAGGTAACTCTAACGATCAGGACGAGAGTCGCGGCGGCATCCTCCGGCCGTACCCCGCACGTGACAATGCTCCATCCTGTGGTTTGAACAATGCGGCCACCTCTACTGCAGACAGCGGGCAGCAGACCCTTGCAGAGCCGCAGGTCTCTCCAGAAGAACCGCTTGGGCCGCTGCCTGAGAACTGGGAGATGGCCTACACCGAGAATGGAGAACTTTACTTCATAGAGTATGTATCGACAACCTGCAATATTAAACACACAAACTCCCAGCACTGCCTGTGTAAGCATTTCTCACCACAGCTCATACCATAGTTTGTGTTTTCTGTATTTTACCTGCACTATTATCCCTTTTGTTCGTCCAGTGGCTTGTCTTCCCCCCATGATTTGGTTTTTAGGCCTCCCCAAGCCAACCTGCCCAACCCCCTGGGTCGCACTGCTTTCCTGTTAATCCCTGCATGTCCCGATCTCTAAAGGAGATCACATCCTGATCACCTGACTACCTCCACCTCTCTGTCCTCTCTGCAGCACGGCAAAGACACACCACCAGGACATGGCTGTGTATTTTCAGAGCTTGTATGTTCATTTCTGCTATCACTGAATTACAGTATGTTCTTGTGTAACAATAGATGTTCATTGCTGATATCCTGCCTGTGTCGCTCTGTTATCCTAATTTTCCTCTCTGCAGCAGATGCCCTCTGTCCTCTGTAAACTTGCTGACGCAGTTTACTTTCTATTTCTTATTGATGCATACATGGTTCACTGCATTGCTTTTATACATCAGGTTGGCGGCCCTGTGTTGAATTGTACTGTTGTGTTGTTTGTTTCATCTCAGCCACAACACAAAGACGACATCATGGCTCGATCCTCGGTGTAGAGACAAAGCCTCCAGGCCTCTGGAAGAGTGTGATGATGATGGTAAGCTGCTACACATCATTTACACAATAAAAGTGTACATTCACACTACTCTGGTGTGGTTCAGGAACCAGCAGGTGGTGTTTGAGGTGTCAGACACGCTCTTCATGTGTATTAAGTGGTGACACATTTCCTATTTCCCCAACAGTGTATTTAAAAGAGGTTAGATCACAGTTTGGGTTTGGTTTTGATTGTGTGATTTATTGATTGTCTTCCCCCATGCGTGTCCTACATTTGGCTTCACTGTCAGGAAAATGACTCAACTCTCAAAAAATTCAGACATGCTTGAGAATTTACAAATGACAGTTGACAACTGCTGATTTCTGAGCACAAATTGAAAAATTGCACCATCAAGTGGTGATTTTTTAGGTGGCACACTGGACCTCTCTTCATAGAACAAAGTGTTGTTTTTAGATGTTATATCTTAATATCAGTTCTGAGACTAAGGGGTTTCTGTTTCCTTCCCCTTTCTCTGCACTGTCACTTCATCCTTTATTTGCTCTTAATTCCTCCATCCCCGAACCACCTCTCCTCTGCTATCCATCCCTTTTCTACTCTTCATTTTGTTTTCTGTTTCATCTTTGCTTTCACCTTGGAGAAGAAGGGATACATACGGAGGACCTGGAAAGTGATTTAGGTAAGATTCTTTTAAACCTTTGTGTCTCAAACAAGGGGGATTCTGCAGTGATGTAGTTAGGAGCTACATTTAAGAGATCTTTAGATTGTACTGTCTGATATCTGTCAGCAAATTTTTGATTCCGTTTGGAGTAAGGAGAGATGGGCAGCACAGTGGTGCAGTAGTTAGCCCTGTTTTGCATGGTACCCTTTGTGTTTGGGTGGGTCCTCTCTGGGTACTCCACCTTCCTCCCACAGTCAAAAGACATGCAGATTGGGATTACGTTAAATGGAGACTTTAAAATGATCGTAGGTATTTCTGTGAGAATAATTGGTTGTTTGTCTCTGTATGTTTGCAACCTGTCCAGGGTGTGCCCCGCCTCTCACCCAGTGTCAGCTGGGATGGCCCCCTCTCCCTGACCCTCATAAGAATAAGCGGGATAGATGGAAGGAATGATGCAAAGTTTTTGTTTGCTGTACTAGTTCACACTCTGGACGCCACAAGCGGTGACATGATAATTGTTTATGACATCTGCAGAAAGCTGTGATGCATATTGACAGTTGGTGGTATGCTTCCATAGCAATAACTTCTGAAGAAGAAGACAGTAGACTGAAACTATGCACATTTCAAAACAACAATAGAAGAAAGATGAAAATCTTCAAACTTCAAAACATGAAAGATTTGAATTGGATTTAATGGTTTGTGTCTGGAGATCGTAACGAAAACCATCTGAGGAAAAACTGACCAAGATAAATTATGTCTTTGTCATGTCATAAGTGATTATAATGTCTTTTGGCAATTGGCTTCATCACATCTTCAGCTCGTGATGGGGCCTCGCAGCATTAGTGGCTCACATGTATTGCTGTGGGATATACTGTATGTGGTTTGGTTTTATGTTGTTGATCAAAGCGCTGACTTAAATTCTAACATCCATACCAAAGGTTGAGCCTTTTGGGGATTTGGGGATAATTTAATTTCCTTTTGATGTTACAAAAACAATATCCAACTCAATGGTCATAGCGTGACTAGTGGGAGTTATTTGTCTACAATTGACAAAAACACATCTGGAACATTTTATGCTGAGGACTTGGACTGATAGATGTACTTGGACTTGCTTCACAGACTGGCCAATGGCTCTGCTGTAGATTCTCGTCCCATATGCAGGTAGAACAAACAACCCCTGTAATGGAATGAGCGCTCAGTCTAGAACAAGGCCTTGAATGTCTGGCTGTGAGACTTTATTATTGCTGGCCGCTCAGATGCAGACACTCTGTGATTATTGATTGTGAAATCCAGTCTCGCATGATAGTGTTTACTGGACTTGGGAGGTGCCCACAGTAACACAAGGACGTATTGTCTTTGTCCGAAATCAAATACAGTCAGGTGGAGATCCGAGATGTCAACATCTTAATGGGAATGTGTCGGTTTAATAGGCCTGATTTGTCCATCTATTCCCAGATGTGAGAGTGTTTATGTGTGTGCATGGGTGTGTGTGAATAACATTATGGTATTATTCAGGAAAAGAATTACAATGTGCAGACAAATCCAGATGTTAACATTTCAGTTTTTAAATTTCCACACTAGGCGTGTGTTGACCCACATTCTGTTGTCAACCTTCTTCAGGACTGACAGCTACACATGTCTGACTTATTGACTAGATTTATAAATGTTTGCATTTGGCACAAGTAAAAACAGATTTGGGCTTGAACCTTTTTTTTGTGTTGTAATATACAGACATTTTAAAGGGAGCATTTACCAGTGTGGCAACTTCTAAAACCAAAACAGCTAAAACTAGAATGGCTGTCAATGGAGCACATACGCCTGCCAAGGTCCAACAGTCCCCTTAAATTCAATCAAGCCGAATCAAATTGCACACACTCATAGAAATCAGTTCTTTAAAGGTATCAAATTTAAAAAAAATCCAGATCCATGAATTACTGGCTATTATTCGAATTATAAGTATATAACTAAAACTATATTTGCTGTACTGATAGTTCTGTGGAGTCAAGCTAACCACACTAACCCACTAAGCTCTGCCAATGATCCAATAAACTACCTTCTTTATTTCAGAGCTGCCTCCAGGATGGGAGAGAATAGACGACCCTGTGTACGGAGTGTATTATGTAGAGTAAGTTCAAAGACCATCTTACAAATCTTCTGTCTGTCTTTAGGCTGCATTTGACTGTTTTTACTGCAAAGACTGAACGTTTCATTTTTTCCCTATCACCTTGTTTTCCTTCCCTCTGTCTTTCTTAGTCACATAAACAGGAAGACACAGTATGAGAACCCAGTAGTGGAGGCGCGGCGTCGTAAAATCCTGGAGCAGCAGCAGCCGCAGCAGCCGCAGCCGCAGCCTCCAGAAGGTGAGCGGTATATTCGAGGTTCGTTTCCTGCCCTGGCACGGCACCATTTCTTTCTTTCTTCATGTCTGTGAGTGTCATGTCCTTCTAGTTCGTCCAGTGCTCTCCAGGGATTGGGCCCGGCTGTTTTTCTTCTCTCTCTGTTGACCTCAACACTGTTAGAGTTAAATTTTTATTCTGATGCAAACTATTTTTTTAACAACATAAAGCTGGCCCAAGCCCTGGTGTCGTCTTTGGTGTTTAGAATTTAATTTACATGTTTCAAAATCATAAATGCTATTTATCATCCTGTGTGTGATCATTTAATTTGCTTTAACATGAAAATATAAGAGATTTCTACTGAGATATTCAGGAGTTTTCCACCTGTGAGACTGGGATAGTTGCAGGGAACGCACAGAGTGAGAGATATAAGGAATATAAGGGGTGTGTAAGGTGAAAGGAACAGGTGCATGCTGGTCCTCTGGAGAACAGCTGAGTTATTGTAGATTTACCAGGCGTTGTTGCGGCAGCTGACCATATTGATCAGCAGTTGGAGCTTCAGCATCGGCTGTGACACAGCTGATGGAGGCAACTACAGTAAGTTTCCTTAAACATTTGACGTTTGACTGATTCAGACTCATTCTTAGAGTCATGCAGTGGAATCTGAACACAGACATGATGCACATATGTTTAGATCTAGTGTAACCTGAAGTCTCATAGGATATCTCTAATCCCCACTGTGGATGAATTCATATATCTACTTAGAAATCTTTGAAAAAACCCTGGCTCTTATAGATCCAGAACCTTCTGGCAATATTCATTTACTAGTGTTTTTTAAGTTTAAAAGATTCCTGTGTGTTTGAGTCAGGCTCCGATTGCAGTCCGAGGCGCACTTTACATCGCCTGCAGCCCAATTAGGGGAAGTATAGTTCCAAAGCTTCAAAAATGGGTATTTGCCAATTTCATGCAAGACAAACAATATAAAAAGCCAAAATCCATAAATATGAACTTTTTTCATGTTGTATTATCAATAGTGTAAACCCTGTGTACTATTTCTGCAGTGCAAGTAAAATAGTATATGTAATGATACTTAGTACTAGTACAATACAAGTATCGCACATTCAGCAAATAACACCATTAAAAACTGGTTTAAAAGAGCTGATTAAAACCGAGGCAGTATGAACAGTGTTTGCTCCCAGCTCTGTGTATGTACACGTGTTGCTGTTACGTGTCTATGTGTGTGCATGTGTGTGGCATGTAAATACAAGTTTGTGTTGAGTGTGTGTGGATTAATGTGTATATGTGGGTGTGTGTGTGTGTGTGT